GCAGAACATCACATCTGGTCCCGATCTCGGCAGCCGAGAATTCCAGGGCTCCAAAGAGTATGTTCAAATTCCAGAGCCAGAACTAAGCTCTGTGACTCAAGACATGATGGCATCTTTAAGAAGAGAATAAAAGAGAAATCTAAAAGAGAGAAACGCCTGAGATAAGAATGTAAAAATCCAAGGCAGGGGCTGGGTACACGCCCTAAATCTCTTAGATATAAACAAACAGTTAAATTTTTGTCAGGGAGCAGTATGTTCAGTTTTCTGAAGAAGATACATTTCCCAGAAGGAATTATATAAATATTTATGAAAATGAAGCAGGAAATATTTTCCCAGGGTAGGACACTGCTCAGCACTACATCAGGTCAGCAGAAGCTGGGGTTTATTTTGTCAGTCTTCCCCTGGAACTAAATCATTGCCCTCTTGTTTGCAAAAATCTGTTCTGACACAGGAAGAGCCTGCACTTAGATAAACACAATTACAAACCACACTGAGTATTTCACTTTCTATCGTATCTCTAAATGAATATGTAAATGCCTTACTCTTTTAGTGTTTGCATGGAAAACAATAGCAATAGGTATCTGTTTCAGCCTCTTCAGGAAGTCAGGAGTCTTCAGGAAGCCATATGAGTACAGTCAAAGCCATTTTCAATACAAGTAAAAGCCTGCAGATCAACCGTCAGAGAAGGCTTATCATGTGCAGTGTAATTCCCAGTAGATACAGGTTAGGGCCCAGTACTACATTCTTTATATATGCTGCTGGAAAAGTATTAGGTGGAGTCCATGTGTCACATGGACCTTTTGTTTTCATAATGGAGGAGTTAAGAACACATTAACCACGAGCTAATAAATCTTGTAAAGTACAAGAGTTAGAACCTTAAGCTGTAATGCAGTGTTACATGAGCGAGCAGAGGTGACACAATCAAAGAATCACAGAATGGCCAAGGTTGGAAGGGACCTCTGGAGATCACCTAGTCCAACCCCCCCTGCTCAAGCAGGGTCACCTACAGCACATTGCCCAGGACCCTGTCCAGATGGCTTTGGAATATCTCCAGGGAAGGAGACTCCATAACCTCTCTGGGCAACCTGTTCCAGTGCTCACCCTTCCAGTAAAGAAGTTTCTCCTCATGTTCAGACAGGACTTCCTGTGTTTCAGTTTGTGCCCGTTGCCTCTTGTCCTGTTGCTGGGCACCACTGAGAAGAGTCTGGCCCCATCCTTTTGACACCCTCCCTTCAGATACTTGTACACATTGGTCAGATCCCCCCTCAGCCTTCTCTTCTCCAGGCTAAACAGGCCCAGCTCTCTCAGCCTTTCCTCATAGGAGAGATGCTCCAGTCCCTTAATCATCTTTGTGGCCCTTCACTGGGCTTACTCCAGTAGCTTTATGTCTCTCTTGTAATGGGGAGCCCAAATCTCGACATAGTACTCCAGATGTCGCCTTACCACACACAGCCGAAGTATGTTTAGAAAACAGGGAACACTAGTACAGACAGACAGCAGGGACAGACTCATGCTGCCCCTTGAGGTAGCCTATTCAACACAGTCAAATGGACTAGCAGGAGCCAGGGAGATACTAGGTGACAGGAGGCTATATATTTCTACACCGCAGGGACTGATGAATCCCCTGGAATATCCAAAAAGAGCTATCCAAAAACATCATAAGACTCCTACAAGCTCTGCTTACTGAACAGAGAATCAATGAGGTTTTGGAGAATTTTGTCCTCAATTGTGACTCATTTCTTTTTGTGCAGGTATTTACACAAATTTGCATATTACAGTCTGGTCATTGCTTGTACCTTAATGAAAAGAATAACATTGGTAGAGCCTTTGTTTACAGGCTTAAGCAGACATTGCATAGCGTCAAAACCAAAAATGACGTTTTACAAAACAACCTTAGGATTACTTTCCTCCCTGCACTTGGCAAACCACATTGCAATGCTTTTTCTCTTCCCTTTTCTCTAAGCTTTGCTACTGTGATTGAGGTATCTAGTGTGACAGACTGAAACACTTCAGTCATGATCTCCAGCACCAAGAGAAAAGAAACCATATAGGAACCAAAAGCAGAGAAAAATTGTTCTTTTTTCTTTGACTTCAGATGTCTCTAGGCAGTGAGTATACCGCGGCGCAAAAGAGAAAAGTTCTCCTTAATACTAAATTTGGGACAGAAAGGATGCCAGTGGACTCTCAGCGCTTCTGGCTGAATCAACCCATGGTAACAGGCAGGATGTATTAACCTGGAGTCCAACCACATGATCTGGGACTCTATGAATTATTAAAATTGGCTGTAGATCTGGCCACCTTTTGACAAACACTACTTCAGGATGTGGTCTCTACTCTTTATAGTCTATTGACATTTAACTATTAACATCCGAAGGATAATCAGGTGAAGGTAATACAAATTACTGAGGAAGTACTTGGATTCTAAGGAGGCAATGTACTATACGAAGGTGACCTGAGTAATGCCCAACTCGAAGCAGCAGAATCTTTCAGGATTTTCTTTTGTGTCTTCTTGTGGCTTTCTTGTAAAACATTCGTGCTTTAGGAAATGCTTATGTCTTTTATGTCTGGACAACACTGCCTAGTTTGTTTTTCTTTCTTGCCTACAGACATTTCCCTAAGCCTGATTAGATGAGAATTAAGATGCACAATAGGCAATGTGCCTCATTAAATCCCCATCAGCAATAGAGCTGCCTGAAGATGTTTCAGTGAAAATGGTTCAATAAATACTTATTGTCAAAATCCATGCTTTTTGTGCTAGTATATCGGTTTTGATGGATTTCCTGTTAAGACAGGTTTCCTAGTTCCAGGACAGGATTTTTGGTCCCACATATAGGAAGAGATAATCGATTAGCAAACAGCCCTGTAATAAGGTGATACAATCTTAAGGTTCCACTGCAAACACTGATCTGAATTAATCAGAATTTGAATCTGGATCTCCTAGATTTTAGGCAAGTGCCTTAATTACCAAGATCTTGGATATATTAAGCCTCATTTCTCACTCTGTGTTTAGGGTTTCTGTGCCTTTCATAGAGTAAAAAATATGTAGGGTCTTGATTTCTTTTCTAATATAGAATGAGAGAATTTGAAAACTACCGTAGCAACAGCAGTATCAGAAAAATGTTCCCCTCTTAGTCATAGTCAGTAACTGAACTGGTTAAACAAATGGCTTCCTGTCTCACTTACACTTACTCCTCTTTATCACTGATGAATAACAAAGAATGCACTGAAAGTCTCTCAGTATTGTGGAACAGATAGCATCATTCACATCACTTTGGCAACATTTCCCAAAATGCCTCCTCCAAAGCTAAGTACACTCGCTTCCCACTCCTACGCTATCTATTCTTGCTCTTACATTGACCTTATGCTCACAAAATGGAAAGTGGAGAGAAGGAAAAGATAAATAAAACAGATTTACAGCTTACAAGTCCGAGGCACAGTGCCCAAGTCAAATCACAGAGGAACAAGTTTATTCCTGGTACAACTCTGTCCATCTATAATCCCAGCCTTCACTTTTCTCCCCCTCTAGCCACGCTGTACCTGTTATCAAGGCCACATCTGAGGGTGTTAGATGACATTCGTTAGGATGGAGACTACTATTTGTTTCTGAAAAACACCATATAGAGTTTAACAAAAGAGAGAAAAAAGTGTGAAGTGTTTTGAAAAGTGGGACAGCCTGTGACCAGGCTAGAAAGAGAGAGGGAGAGGAGTCTCTCGGCCCGTCTTGGGAGTTTGGCCAACGTTTCATCCCACATGAAAGCTTGAGATCAAAGCCCTTCTTCAGCCTATAAAGAAAAGGTATCCACTTTTACATCCGTGCTGCTACTTTTTCTGTCTGTCAACAGGCTGAAACGCTGTAGGGGCTAAAGAATTAAAGCTCTCTTAAATAATGAAGAAAGTATTTGAAAAGCTATTATTATAGGAAATATGATTTTTGCCTACAATGGAAAGCAAACATGCCCTCATACACCAGGCATTTAAATAGAGTTGAAAGTAGCCCTGTCCTTCCTTGTGTAACAAAGCAAAAGTTAATAAAGTTCCAGGAAAGATTATGAATGCTCGTTTCCTTTTCTTTGCTACCAGGCTACCTAGAATAGTCTGCTGTTCCTGGTTACTGTGTTCTCCCTTATCAAAAGCTAGAGTCTTTTCTAGGAGGAGATTGCACAGGGATGGATATCTGTCACAGTACCTTCCAAGAGGAGACACACACACACACACACACACACACACACACACACATATGTATGTATGTATGTATGTATGTATGCATACACATATAGCAGTGTTGCATGCTACCTGTTCCATCATCCAGGAGGGCTCCTACCAGGCTGCAAAGTCCTAGCACCCAGCTGAAAAACTGATAGCCTACCCCACGCAGTTTTGAACAAGGAACAACCTCCTGGACAACCCAGGAAAAAGAGCAGAAACAACGTGGCCTTGGGACCTTTGCTACACTACTATCCTGATGTATGGTCTCTCCCAGTCAGCAATAGCAGGTAGAGGCACAAGGTGGTAAGGGAGGAAGGTACTGCAGGCATTCGAGCTCATCCTGTTCTGTCGCTTCAAATCTAATGTCTGTCCTTGTGGACCATGTCTAACATAATCTGGGCTTGCAACAACCATTGTGGAGAAAGCTATATCCATAAACCCCTCATTCGTGGGTTTCTGGCTCAGAGACCCACCGGTAGCATCAGCTTTTCAGCCCCCACTTTCAGGCCCTGCTACACAGTACATGGGGGCCAGAAGGTGTAAAATAGCCCATGTGACTTCTACTCACGGCAGATCGACACCGATTCCAATGTCACTAAAGATCTCCTTGCAGGAAATTTTTCACAGAAATGTCTCGTTATACTTTATAAGGAATCTATGTTACTCTTTTAGCACAGAACCAGCCCCAAGTATCCTGTAACTAATTAGTAGTCACATGATTACAATACTGAAGTCTTTTGTCTCTTGAGTAAGTGTAAAGCTCTGTATGAAGAGTCTATGCTGAAGGGAAAAAAAATAACAAAAGAGATATCCCCATATATTGAAGAAATTTTCCATGGCAAAAGCAGCTAAACATCTCACAGATAAGAGATAAACTGGAATAAACAGCTGTCACTGTTAAATAAATATCCTGGATAATGTGCAGAACAGAAATAACTAGAGCATTGTCAAACTCTCTTCTTCACTTTATTTAGCTGTTCTTGCATGTAACTCCCAATTTTTTGCGCTACTTCTGTTAGTGGAGCATTTATTTTTGTATCAGCTGCATTTGTTAAGACTGTAACAACGAAAGGCATTTCCTGAGAAGCTGCAAGGATGAGCAGCAAGAAAGAACAACAGCTAAGGAAATACGGGACCCTGGTAGTGCTTTTTATCTTCCAGGTTCAGATTTTTGGTTTTGATGTTGACAATCGACCTACCACAGATGTCTGCTCGACACACACAATTTTACCTGGACCAAAAGGTGAGGAATATCAGGTTGTTAATGATGAGACCAGTACTAATGAAGGCTGATTTTTTAACGTAGAGGCATGGAGGGTTTGTGGCACTGGCTGGGGATGAAAAATCTAAATTACTGCTGTCTGTACAAACATCTAGAAAAGTGAAACTGTAATGGGAGAAAAGTGATGCAGCAAAGAGACTTGAATTTGTTTTCTTTAGTTTCAGGAACAGTCTCATATAGTCTCATGTAAGTTAGAGGTATCCTTCTGCATCTTTCTCCAGCCACATAACGCTTCTCCTACTTGTTGTAGTTATCACACAACGAGTACAGTCAGCAGCCGTAAATTGAGTGGATTTGTCTAAAAGTAAGCACCCATTGTGGATTGTTAATGATTCACTTTTTGGATCTATAGCTAGAGAGAGGTATGTAATATTTAAAATGACTGCACTATCATTATTTCCAAATGATTACTTGTAAACAGAGCTCTGCTGCATTTATCAAACCTGATCCAGCAGCTCCCAGTGAACTAAACAGGATCTTCACTACAGACCTCAACAAGAATTAGATCAGTTCTTGCACGTGCAATTCTTTTATCTTCAAAACACTTTCCAAATATCTGAAACCATTTTCCGCATTAACTTACTTTCTGTGTAATGCAACTAACATCAGTGTAATTGCCTGGAGGGCACATCAGCCAAGAACTAGGTCCATGCAAATCTTTCTTGCAGTGACAGATATAAAACATATATTCCCGACCATGGCTACTGTACTTCAAAATGTAGCTTTCTTTTTAGTAATTCATTTTATTTTTCTACAGGCTACAAACTGAGTGAAAAAATGCAACTGATTTAAATTTTAAACAGAAAAGAGATTATCAAGTCAAAGCATTTGTTTTTATGATGGATTATTCAAATGCATGTTGCTTAAAGGACCATTTTTAATCAGCAAGTTAATTTCTTTATGATTACAATCCAAGCTTAAACTTTTGCTGCTGCAGCATAAATGCAGAGAGATGTAATGATCCCCAAAGGATCTAGTGGGAGTTTGTTTAGTTAATATCTGAATAATGGAAGGCTGGACATGAAAGTTTGACAGAATTGTGTTTAACAAATCACAGAGCTAATGTAACAACACAAGAGTAGTTAGGACTCCATCTGCTTTCTGTGGTCTAGCTGGGATAGGGAGCATTTAAAGGTTAGACATTATTGCTCTTTGCAAGCATCCCATTGAGAAAGTCTGAATTTAGCCATTACCAGCCCTATTGTCTCCTGGCTGACACCAAAAGATAAGGACAACCAAATAGTGTATTGGCAGGGTCCCCACTACTACTTTAAAGTTATATTACCATGCCCAAGATCCATGATTGGTAAAAGAAGTATTGAGCAAAACATCTCTAAATTACTAGCTCAAATCTATCTCAGGTCATCAAGTACATTTTGAAGTCTAAGTGACAGGAATCCATAGCATCAGTTCCTATCTGATCTGAGCTCATCCAGGAGAATTTGCAAGTGGTTCTCAGTGGCACTGGTGGTTTTGACTGCCAATCAACTGAGCAACTAAAGACTGAGCAAGCTGGGTGTGTGAACTACCCTGCTATTCCTCAGGCATCCCTTGTAGTCAGGGATGTTGACCTAATATGACAGAAGAAAGTCTCCTGCTGCTGGTCTTCCTCTATCTATCTTGTGTCTAAGGACTCAAGACACATGATACAACCCCGCCACAGCCACAGGCAAACTTCACGGCTTAGAATTTAACCCGGACAGTGAACAATTTTGTGACTTCTACTGCTGTAAGTTTTATTTTCTGTGCTGCATCTGTGGTGCCTCTTCACCCACCACTCTTAAGAAAATAGGTTTTTACCCTCTCTGCACAAGTTTCATCACTCCCATCTGCTCAGCATCTTCAGCTATGGCAAAACACAGTGGTCATCTTACAAGATGGAAGATCTGGGCTCTCACTTTAGGTTGATCAGCTTTTTCCATCACCACAGGCCAGACTCCTGTCATGGCAACTTCCTCCATCTGCAAGAACGTTGCAGTGTCTAATGGGACTAAGCAGCTAGGAGTGCAAGGGATTAAAATGTATTTAATAGCTGTAAAACTTCCTTCCCTATCTATAACTGCTTTCCCTTCTTACCTACTGTCCCAGTGTAAGACTGTGGTGGGACAAGCAAACTGTCCTGTGGGCTAGATCCACTCTGTGGGCTACCAGTGGGATCAGTCCCAGTACAATGTAGCAGCTATACTGTTGTTCCCATCGTACAGCGCAATGGGGAAGGAAAGCTTTGCAATGGGGAGAAGTGAGGGTGTTCAGAGGGACTCAGACCTTACAAGCCTGTATTTCTTGCACTACTGGAAGCTAATTGCTCCATCATCTACGCTTTTCTGATCTATAAGAACAAGAACATGACTTTTCTGGATGGCCACTGTGAAAATCACCTGTTCAAAAAGGGCCATTAGCATGCTGAAAAATGGTCATTTCTTGCACAAGCCATGTGTAAGTTGTCTTCATTAATTAGCATAAGCCAAACTTTTTCCTTTCAAAACCATACTCTTTTTTATACTCATACCTAAGACTTCACAATGGAAGTATAATAGGAGCGATAGGATGAGAAGAAGGGGTGGTTCTAGGCCAAATATCAGGATAGCCTCCATATCAGTTGTGACAGACCTAGCAGCTCTCAAATCATGTGAGACAAAACCAGGGGCCTTTATGCCTAACAAAGAGCTAGAAAAGTCTTTTGCACTTCCAATTTCTATGATAAAAGCCAGTCTGAATTAAAGTTCTTCATTATTACAAATTAATAGGAGATAAAGTCTGACCTCTGGTGGTTATGAGTGATACAAACCAAGCACTTGGCAGTTCCCTATCTGCTGCTTTTTCAGTCGCTAGCACAAATAAACACAAGTTGAAGTCTATTTTTAAAGAATCATGCAACAAAAATTTGTAAGCATATGCTCCAGAAAAAGAAAAAAGAAAGAATTAGAAAAAAAACAAAATCTGACACTCCCCTCCCAGCTTTATTTTCACAGTCATGCTCATAACTTTTCAAAACGAGGGCAATCTTTTAATGAATATTGGCCTAGTGCAATGGCTGCCTCATCTGGTCTTCTTGAGAAAGCTTTTGAGTTACATAGCAAACATGATTATAGAAAAGTTAAATATAGAAATCTGTGAGACATCTTCTAGAACCCTTACAGAAATTCTCTAGGAAACATGCCTCCTCTACGGACTAAAGGACATTCATAGCTCTATAAAAAGTCAGTTCTTTGGACCAAAACAGCTTTTCAGTATTTGTAACTAGTGATTTTTGGTGTCTGACCTGAGACATTTATGAACAGGTTGGATTTAGCTAGAGCACTTTGGCACAGGACGTCTGAAAACTGATGTTAAGTAATGCTTATCCATGGCTGAGTAACTAGGACAATAAAGGCCAAATTCTGTACTTGGCCAACTCCTTCAGTACAAACAGAACCAGCTTGAGCATAAACAAAACAACGAATTTCCTAGGGCAGCCAAGAGCTTGGGCTAGCAAAATTAGTCATGGCCCCACCGCTTACTCTCCACCCTCCCCAGTCTGGAGATAGGCTGGTTGTTGCTGAGAGAAGGACTGGGGAGGCAGCTGAAGCTGCGAGACCAAAAGCACCACTTGTGGGTCCGTCCTCTGGCAGCAGCGGAAACAGCTGGCCTTGCTCTCCAGGGCTTTCCCTTTGGCTCCATCCCAGCTCTGCCCTTTCTTCACTTCCTCCTCCACTGCGGCGGGGAATGACCCGGCCCCAGGCTTGAGGCAGCGAGCTCAGCTTTGCCTAACCTGCTGTGAAGCTGACATAAACGAGACTGAGATCGGACCTGGCTGGAGTAAATCACTAAGCCGCAATGTGAGGGCAGAAATAAGCAGAGAGCCCAAAACTTTGACTTCTCAACTCCTATTAGAAGATGGGGGAAGGGAGCAATGGGAAGAGGCAGGGGATGAGTCTGCAGACATGCAGAACAAGACTATGGCTGGTTTCCTGTGGATTTGTGGGAGCTCAGGGTTTCAGAAGACTGGCTCTAGATCTTGTTAGCTGTCCCAGGTCCCAATTAATTTCCTTTGAAATCCAGACACAGGAACTTGAAAGGCCTTGAATCAGAGCCAGGATGAGAAACTGGAATGAAATGAAATCTGAAGAATACTGGGAATTTCCCCATAGCAATTCAGTCGTAAAGCGTTTCCTTATTATTATTTCTGACAAATGATGCTTATAAACTCTATGACATTGGCTGGCGCCTCAAAATAGCATTTACTGTGGTCTCCGGTATAGCTGTCCATCTCTCAGCTTTAATTGCGCTTACGCAATTCCACTCCTGGAAAATCTCAAACTCTCTCAGAAACCAGATATGCCGCTATCCGCATTTCCTTCTGAAAATATAAAATGCCTTACCACATCCTATAGGCTATTCAAACCTATAACTAAGCTTCCCGCTTAGCGCCTCATGTCTGATCTGAAGAGCCCTTTATTTTCAACACAATTCTGTTTTTCTCGTGTATTTTAGATTTCATATATTTTAGCATATGTTTAGTTTTTGAAGTTTATCAATCAGCCTGAGCTATAAGGCATACATGTGGGCACTTAAAAACATAAATTCAAAATACAGTGGGCCTGCATTTCATATCATTGTCGGTTTGATTCCTTGCTCAAGCCACAGTAATCCATGGGTCTTTGAGATCATGTCATAATGGCAGGGGAACGAGGCTGAGAAACTTAAATTGGGGCCGCTCAAGTGAAAGGAGCATCAGGGCCAATATTTAAATTATTTCTGTGTTATTAAGGAAATAATATATGTCCCATTCATCCACAAAGGCCCACATTCTCAAATAGCACAAGTCAGCAGAGCTTCACTGAACACACTGCGTGCTAGGGTCTGGCTAACGGAACGCAACAGAAGACGAGGGCATTTCTACCAAAGTCAATGGAGATTTATAAGTGAAAAGTGAGCAGCAAATCCAATTTACTCTTGATGATTCGTTCTCTTTCATGATG